GGGGGGGGGGGGGGGGAAGAAATCGCAGGTGGTGGCACACACTCACGAGAGATCGTTGTCGCGGCGAGTCGGTTCCATTCTCCGTGATGACAGGGAAGATCCGATGGTCCGGATGTTGATGCTGTTGCTGCGACTGCAGTAGGTGGTTGTGACGACGGTGGTGGTGGTATTGGTGGTGGCCGTGCGGAGTGTTGGCCGCGGTGCTGGCTCGCGTATAATAATGTGGTGGGATCCGTTCGTCGCGCACGCGCAGACTGGCGGAACGGTGCAGGGCCGTCGGCGACGGCCTTGGTATACGGGAGTCCAGCGAAGACGGCGCCGCGGAGGTAGCGGCTGCTCGGGAGAGATCGGGGTGTTAATAATGCAATAAAAGGAAGGAAGGGGATCGATGTGGATCAAGCGAAAGAACCGCGCGATCTCCGCAGGAAATTCCCGGGGAACTTCGAGGAAACTATGGGCTCACGCCGGTCTCGGTGATTCGGACGGTAACACCTTGGGCCTGCGAGGCCTACACGCGGTCTTCTTTCGCTCGTCTCCTGGTTCCACGTTACCACGTTCTGTGCGAGACGCTTTTTCTAATTGCAGTTTTTAACGTTTCGGAAGAACCGTTTTTTTTCTTTCAATTTTTTTCGCGGATTTCTTCTGGCTTCCGTGCCAAAAATTCGTTTGGAAACGTTCACGTGAGTCCGGTTGAAACCTGCTGCATTGATTTCTTTTCTTTCTCGGTAAGGAAGGTATACAGGACGTCACAGATCAACGTGGACAAACTTCCCGAGGGCGCATTGAGGTGGACAAAAGAGTTCTCTACCATTTTGCAGACGTGAAATTTTGTGTTAATATTTAAAGAAGCTTCTATTCATGACCATTTGCAATAATTAATAATTCTATGTCCTTACAAAGTTTGTTAGTCTTATAATAATCTTTTATTAATTAAAACAATATCTGGGTCACCCTGTGTATATATATATATATAAAACCAAAAATGTCCGCGGAATAATTGGAGGAAAAAGTTTTTTTTTCCAAAACTTTAAAACTATATTTCTAGTTCTCTATTTTCTCGCACGGAGAAAAAAGATTGTTTGAATTAACGTGACAATGAACAAACCTAATTCGTTTTGGTTGGAGGGAATTTCTGATTTTAAGAACGTTTGACGAAGAAGGACTAGACTCTGTCGTCGCGATGAAACCTTCAATCGCAACCTCACGCGCTCCTCGGGTTTGCACGGTTATCGATTAGGTATTTTTGAAGTTCTTGCTCTTCTACTCGCCGAGACGCTTTGCGACTTATCGGAGAGCGCCGGGTAGTTTAATCGACGCGTTTGACGCGCGGATTTCATCACGTTGCAAAAGGCTACGCGAAAGACCAGGTTACAGCCTTAATCGTATTCCATTGGCGACATGTGCACGTCTGTAAACATGGTTCTCCGTGATATTAATTCTCTCTCGGGACACTTTTAACCCTTTGTCGACCAAATCATTTCTTAAGATTGTAAATATCCGAGAGAGTTGCGTAACACTGAGTTAAATAAAATACTAACTCAGAAAGTTCGGTTCGATTCTCTGCCTTCTTCGACGACCATCTTCTACGACAGAGGCAAGCAAATACTGCCGAAACACTGGCGAAGAATCACGGATAATCACGACTGTTACTTGACTGATGAATAATCCGTTTCTACTGGATGCGAGGGTGAAACTTAATTTGCAAATCTAAACGAACTTTCTGAATGATTCAACGAATGCAAATAACAACGATAAAACTAATACACAATTCACGATGATAATATTGGTCAATAGAGAGTTAATACACCGCTCCGAACGATAAAAGAATCAGATTTCTCTCGACGGTCCTCTAATTGGAATCTAACAATGCCGATTAAAGTGGCTAAAATATACACCATGCCAATTAAATAAACATTATGTAGAAAAAACGCTCCGGACAAAGGTGGATGCGAACGATGTCGGAGGCACGGTTCCTTAATTATTCCGAGCGGCGTATCTTTCCCTCTTCAACGATCACATTCATAATGAATCGCTCTTTTGCAGAGGCGGCCCTCGTGGGCTCTGTCTGATCGACTCACTAAGAGTTTCAGGTGTTGCAGCGTTCGACACGTGGGTAGAAACTGTAGTGGCAGTGACCCTGACAGGACTGACGGAACACGTCGTCGGCGTCGTAGGAGGTGTCACGATGGAGACGGGAACCGAATCGAGCGACGGTTCCAGCTGCAGGGAATGCAGAGACCTTTCGCTGTCGTAATGAGCCATATCGTCCACCCAGTTCATCTTAACGGGCGCGACAACTGACACCTGCCAGATAACAAAAACAACTCGGTTAGACAAACAAAAAGAAAAAGACGTTCGTTTATGCCGAAATATTCAAGCGACCCACCGGCGGTCTCATCTTATCTGAGACAATTAGGACAGTCGGCTTTGGTACACAATGAAGTGTGTCGTTCACCGGCAGAAATCGTAAAAAAAGCTAACAAGCCGAAGAAATCCGGATTCAAGTGCAATTCTCGATCTGAAATGTGAAACGGGCAAACTAAGCTCATTATCGACACACAATGTGTATCGTGTCGAACGCTTTTGTACACACTCGATTCCGCAAGCGCACAGTCGAGCTGCGTACTGCAAGATACTCGACGGCTGAGAGACGCAAATGTGCCGGTTATTCAGCGTTATTCAACGGCGGATCCTTTCTACCGATACGACTGTGCATTCAATCGCCGCGAAAAGGCGGAAGGAGAGGCGACTCTGAAACGTGTAAATTCCGTAAAACGATTCGCGTTCAGTGCCGACGCGGAATGCCTCATCAGTCGGTGCGCTGGGATCTGGTTCGTGCGATGTGTTTTGAAAAAATAAAGGAAGTATCTATGTTCTAGTCTATCGGTAAATAAGCAAAATAAGGTAAAGCGATAAACTCGTAGATCCGTCCGCTGCTGGAAAAGAGAGCGTTTCGCCGCTCTCGCGCCGTAAATGCGCGTCCGAAGTATAAGTTATTTAACAAGCGCTTTTTGCAATTTCACCGACGGAACGGAAATATTTGCCGGCGTTATCGCTGCTGTTTCAGCGTTATCGCATCGAAAACGTGCCACGCGCGGAACGGTTTTCTTACCGCGCAATCAAAGCTGCATCGGTTCGTGTAACGAAACAACTTCGCCCTTAGCTCGACGAGCGAGTTACTTTTCAGGGTTTTCTCTGCCCCTATCCGGTCGTGAGGAACAATTCATCCCTCGGCAAACGCAAGGAAAGTATTGCCCGAGGTCGAGGACATATCGATTGAACGGAGCGCCGTCGTACGCTGAACCTAAGTCGGCGGCTCCTCGCTTATCGGAGATATTGTTTCGTGTTATTGTTTAGTATTTGTTGTCAATTCGGCTGAGTCTCGGAGCGACTTCGCCTTCTCCTTGGACGCTTCGATTCGGACAATTTAAATCATTACCCCACGAGTAATATTTATTATCTGTCACCTAAATTACTTTCCAAGTATTAGTTATTATCTAACCGTTATCTAAATTGTGCTGGTCGGCGGTTTTCGTTGTGTCGGATATTTTTATGTTTTCAGGATACTGACGTCACGCCTAAATCCAAATCGAGGGCAGAAAATACCTATCACGTATACGGATCTTTAATTTTTTTTATCGCACATGTAATTGTATTATACAGTTAACTAAAATTCCTCACGTGATAACAATAAATGGATTTGATTCTCGGATTCAGAGCACGAACTTTATCGTGAATCACTTTACCAGATTCAGGCGATAATCCCTGGGTTTCAGCTCGCGGGCTAATATTATTTGGCAGGGGCGAGATTCAAAATAAATAATTACTTCAATACTCCCTGGCAAACTTTTACTCAGATTAAGTAAATTTTATTAGGATCAAGTGAATATTTCATCCGGATAATTTACTAGGAAAATATTTTACACGTTAAACTTTACTAAGGAGTAATTATTCACTTGAATCTAGCATTTTTTTCGGTATAAATACAAAGTGCAGAGCGAGATATGTCGCGAATCACCGCGGATTCGTCCGAGGAATTTCTGCAAGTAAAGAGATTATGTAATATGCAACATCGTTCCGTATCATCGTCTAATGTTCTCTGTAAATTCGAATCCCCAGCGACTTCGTTTTCTTCCAAGACGCTTCACTCCGGACGAACAGAACTATTATCCAAATAATAGTTATTATCTCGTCACTTAAATTATTCCCCAAATATCAATTATCACCCAACTGTTATCTAAACTAACTTATCTAAGTGCAAAACGCGGAGTGAGATGTGTCGCAATTCGTCGCGCTTTAAAAACTGCCGCGAATTCGCCGAGGAATTTTGGCGATTACGGTAATTACGTGAACGTAATTGCGGCGAATTTACGTAAACAAGTTAACCTAGCGTGCTTTCCATGGTAAATGTTCGCGCTCACGGACGGTTCCGAATTCGGAAACCCTGCTACAATGAAACCGCTTTGTTATACGAGCGCGATTAAAGCGCGCACAAGAGTGACGACGCTCCGTCATTTTTTCGCGGACACTCGCGCGACCTCGTCATAATTCGCGCAATCATCGAGCGCATTAAGCATGCCACACGATAGTTCGCGTGTGCCACGTCCTTGCACGCGGAAGCCGGATACGAGACCGTAATTTTGCGACGCGCCTTGGAACAAGTTCGCCGGTTTTGCGAAAAACGACGCCGCCGAGACGATCGAGAACCGCGGTCACTCGACTTCGCCTCCTTCGAAAATTTCCGCGAACGCGCGGGAATTTTATATTAATAATAATCTTTATCGATCCTCTAGCTGGCCTAGACTTATTTTCCAGTTTTTAAACCGCTATACTCCGGTGAGATCGCTCGACTCGGTCGCCTTGTCGTTCCCCGTTTTAATTACTATTTTCAAGCTTGTAACACGGGAAACAGAAATACCGAGTATGAATAATGTAGTATAAAGATCGTTTATGATACCAGGCGAAGAAAATGACTTGGGTTTAAGTTAAACTTATTATCATAAGAAAAGGAATATTTCCCGACGAAATTTTCAAAGCGTTTTGCAAATGCAATCTAAGAGTAATTGTTCATTCGTGGCGCATTTCACTTTCCAAGAAAGAAACGATAGAACGCCATGCGCAAATTACACGGAGAAAAAAAAGTTTCCTTGTATTTGGTATAAATATTTGTTTAATATAAATAACATAATTTAATGTTACATCATTTTTTACTCGAATGAAAATGTTGCTTTACCAGAGTGAACTATGTTGTTTGACAAAAAAAACAATATTATTTAGAGAAAACAATACTTGGCTTTCAATAAGAAAAGAAAACTATTTTATTATATATTACATTATACATTAAATATTGTCGCGCCGAAACAAAGAAATTCGCCACTCCAAACAAATGTGTTTCAATTAAAGAAATTTCACCAAAGAGATTTTATTAGAAATTTATCAGTCCAAGGAAATATTTTTCTCTGTACGGAAAACCGAAGAACGTTCAGTGATCTATTGAATCGGAATGTGGCGAGCTCGAGTTAACAAGAAAACCCCTCTGTACATTACAAAAATTATAATCACCAAATAATATCTTTGAGACCCAGTAAATTAAAAATAAATTAAGAAAACAGAGAGAGAGAGAGAGAGAGAGAGAAAGAGAGAGAGAAAGAGAGAGAGAGATGCGCGGAGAAAAATTTTCCTCGAACAAAGCACCTCGGAGCGGACGAAAATAACGACCCTTCTCCCTCGTGGCTTTTCGTAGCCTATTTTTTTCTATTTTTAACGAAAGCGATGCAGAAAGAATTTCAGCTTAGCGCGAGTTATGTAAAGCTCGAGCGCTGTCTCAACTGTTGTTGCGAAAGCAACGCGAAAACGCGGAACTCCGACTCGAATTCGCCGACTCCGGGCGATAATCGCGCAACTTCAAGCCGAGACGGTCGAAATCAAGCGAAAGGCGAGACCGTGTCTATCGAAATAAAATAATCGATCAGGTCGCGTTCTATTTCAAGGGTGCTGGACTGCGTCATTATGCAGCGTTTACTGGCCGGTGAACGGCGCGATTTTTACGTCAATAGTTCGCAAAGGCGATCCGATAACGCGCTCATAAATAACCCTTTCACGCGAGCGTTATTTATTTTAACCCCCCTCCCCCTCTCTTCCTATATTGTTTCTCGTTTACCCCTTTACATCGGAAGTACAATAACGCGCGATTATGGCTCAACGATTCGTCGTGAAATAATACACTGGTCGCTCGAGGCAGCGACTCGTGCTTGATAGATTGTTGCACTGAGTAATTACTGATATAATTACGATAATTATCTGATTCGAGCCTGTTTATGTGAAAATAAGCCGAAATACCTCACATTCGCACAAATAGATGTTCATTGTGAAAGGAAAATATTCGCTATTCGAGAAAAAGAGAGAGACGGGTGTTCAATATTTGAAATATTTTAAATATTTCAAACGTCCATCGAACGAATAACCGTCTTATTGACTTCTAAACCGTCTCCAACGGTGCAACGCTGTTAAGTGAAAGCGTTTAATTCATACTTCCGCGATAACCGATGCGGAAATGCTTGAATGTCTTATATATTGGAACGAAAAAATGCGTCCAATGAGAGGTGAAATGTGAATAATTTCTTAATAATGCGCAACACGCGTATACGAGTAAACGATACCGACGTTGATGTAAGCGATATAAACGATTGTGATATTTCGTTTCGGTCGAGCAATCGCTAGTAAGTGATAAATATTTCTCTCTCTCTCTCTCTCTCCCTCTCTCGATAAACGTCAATTCCGCTTTCACGTACGCGAACCTATTTGCGAGCGGTCGATCGCCACGGAGAAATATACAGCAGGCCGCGTTATATAACCCAAATGGAATAATTACAAGCGAAACTGGTGCAGTGGAGGACTAAAACCCGACGGGGTGAACGAGAGAAAAAGACGAATATATATACGTAATCGCGAGATTTACATCGGCGCACGATTCGTCGATCGTAGACTCGTCCTCGCGTTCGAATTTTCTTCGATACCCTCAGCGGCATATCGATATCGGCGACGCGCATTTATTTCTCACCCGTGTATCTTCAACACGATCGGCGATATCTCACGATAAGACGCGGATTGTCGGCGCCGAACAGTTCGCGATAGTCAACGCGATTTTCCTTTTCCTTTTTTTCCGCTCTGCGTCGTCGCGTGACGTTCGAAAACAGTCTCGTAACGTCCGCGCGAGCTCTCTCTCTCTCTCTCTTTCACCCGTTCGTTCTCGCCGTCTCTTTCTCTCCTCCTTTTCTTAACGACGTCCCCTAAAAGCCCGTAACGCGGTTTTCCACCCAACATACGTAGCTATTGACGGATCGAGCGATCCGACATCGGGGATCTCCGCGGCCACTCACCTCGGCGAGCAAGACTGTCACCGGGGGAAACGTTCGTCTCCGGCGGGCGAGGGGCCACTCCGTGGTGTACGAGCTACGAGCTGCGATCCATCTCGAGTGTCAAACTTGCGATACGCGAGAGAGAGGCACCACGTAGCCGAGCGTCGTTCGTCGCGCACTGTCGGACACCTACTGCTGTCACACCGCGACGGGCCACGTGGACTTTCACTCAAGTCGCGAGATCGCGTCCTGCTGGCCCGAAGAAGAGAGACGCACACTGGGACCGTGACGCTCGCGCGTTCGCTCACGACCCCCGAGTCGGTCACGAGGGCGGCGATTGCGCGCGCGCGACTGTCGCCGGGCCTCGAGACGAGCGCGAAAAAACGCGCAGCGAAGACCGTGACACGAATGGCGCGAGGCGGCGAGAAACAAACCTCTCTCTCTCTCTCTCGACGACGTCGGGGAAACGTCGGACGCGCAATGCGAATCGCAACCTGAACTCGGGAGCACGAGCGACATCTCGCGCCGCCCGACGGGGACTCGCGCCTGCCACTCCGTCGGTAACGTCGCGTGAGATTCTCCCGCCCGCTGTCTCGTTTTGTTCCCGAAGATTACGAAGCTACGGGAGAAAGATGCAACGAGGCTGCAATCTTTTTCTCTTTTTTGTTGGAACTACATTTTGAAACGCCTTCGAGGAGAATTTTACTCTGTAGCTGGTTCAACATTTAACAAATACTTCCGACTGGTCCCTCTTTGGAAGAAGCCCAAGTAGCTGAGAGAAAAACGCGTACCTATTTAACAATTTTATGAAATATCTCATTTTATTTGATTTATATATATATATATATAAATATATGTGTGTGTGTGTGTGTGTGTGTGTGTGCAGTTATTTACATATTATTAAATACGTATACGCAGATCACACGTACCTCCGTTTGATTACCCGACCAATCGGAAACAATATGCTCGTGACGCAAGGTAACAGGAGTCGCTAATGCACGGCGAAGTACACATGGATCAACGCGGGAATACCGCGACGGCGCCTTTTATTCATTATCGACGGAACACGTACTCTTTATAGTCTCGATCAGATTCAACAGCTGCGTACGCTTGTTTTGGACCATTTCCAGAATGGCCCCGAAATCGCAGTTGCTTATCTTGGAAGTCCTCAGAATGTGCCTGGATATCATATCCGTCAGGCACAAGACGTGCAGGCCGCAATCGTGGCCGTTGTTCTGCGGCGGCGTGATCACCTCTTTGTACCTGTTCCTGGACTGGCCGAGGAAGTATTTGATCAAGTTCGTCGTGAATTCGAAGGCGATGAAACTGTTGATGTAATCGTTTGACGAGTCGTAGTGGTAGCACATCTGATCGGCGCGAGAGTACACCAGCAAGCTCCAGTGTGTGCCGCCTGGCGACACCAAACTGTCGCAATTGTTCAGGGGGAAGAACACGAAGTCGTAGTTCTTCGCGTCCACGGAGTCGAGGAATGCGCAGTAATTCGGAGACTCCTCCATTCTCAGCAGCTGAGTCAACGAGGGATTCGTAAACAGAAACCGTGCGTTACCGTCCTTCTCGTGCTGTTGGGTCAGGTACTCGTAATAAAACCCTATTACGGCGTCGTTCAGCCAATGAGTGCCCTTCAGCAAGTTCACGTCCGACAGTCGGAGCAGACTGTCGTGGTAACTCAGCACAACTTGATTCTCCTCCTTAGCACCTGCCATCGTGTCGCACGTGTTTGAACGTTAACGTGGATCCAAGAACGCTGACATAATACCGAGAGATCGGGAAGGATTCGAGACCTAATCGGGGGGTCTTCTTCGTCTGAAAGGTGCACGATTACGTAAGCTAGCGGAGAGAATATTTACCTTCCGTTAAATATACGTTAAAAATAAAGGACTCACATATATGTGTACGTATGACGATCGAAAGAACAAGCGTCTCCTTCGTTCTTCTTCTCTTACTGACACATATTTACTTCGGAATCCGCTTAAGCGATTAATCACGTTCCTCGTTTCTCCTACTCCTCCCGGTCTTCTATTTTGTTGTTGTTTCTCCGCATTCGTGATAAAGAGACAAGCGCGTGCTTTCTCTCTCTCTCTCTCTCTTTCTTGCACGCGAAGTGACAAGTGCCGTAACAGGCGCTACACGCGCGCCATCAACGTTTCCCCGCGACTTTTTGGAACCTCGTAGCGACCTGCACGCGGTCGGTAAATCACGCATTCATTCGGATTTTGAATCTGGCGAGATTGCTTGCGTAATCGACGGTGATGCAGCTATGGCTGCTTCCTTGATCAGGACGTGTATGGAGTTCAGGTGATTATTTCTTTCCCTCGACGTCGGGACGTCGCGTTAATTAAAACCGCTTCAAGCATTCGCACACACATCTGTATCGACATGATATCATTGTGAGCAATTATAAGATTGTTATTACGGGAGATAAACATAACCTTTATCACGCACAGTGTTACGTTATCTTATAATTATCTACTATCCTTTTATTAAATAAAAATCCGAACGTGCAATAATTTCGTTGAGTTGCATCGTAACTCCAGATTGGATTGACGGAGGATTACACTTTCTGCGGGAACTTTGCGATTTACAGTTCACTGAGGCAACCGCTCTGCGATATCGTTAGAAGTAAAAACGCCAGGAAGCACATTCTGCACGGCTTGTTTCGAACGTGTGTGCAATGCCAGTGTTACCACACAACACCGCGATACTTCAAGAAAAAGAAGGTAAGGACGATTCTTGATTTTTCGCTTCTTCTCGGTATATACGGACGTTTTTAAATTTCCAAATATCGTTACACGTCGAAATCATCTGTTGCAGGACAACCCCTTCGTCGTGATAAAGCCCAAGAAGAAATTGGCAGTTGTGGATGTGTGGAACGAAATGACAGTGTCAGAATTGGCGAACTCGACCAAAAGGGACGTGGACGATGTCATTGAGGCTATTTCTCTGTCTGATGCGTTCAAACGATACTCTGACGACACTGTCATAGAAGACAAGAATGTATTGCAAAACACTGTGCGGAAGCTCGGGGTGAAATTTAAAATAATATCCAGGCCGGGCGATGAGAAGGACACGAAGGATCACGACGTCACCCAACGGTATCGATAATCGAAAAAATCAACGGGACCAATTGATAAATGGCAAAGTCACGTGTGCGTCTCATCGTCATTCGTATTTTATTCCACCAGGCCTCCGCCGGACGAATCGGTACTGATCAAGCGTCTCCCAGTGGTGACGATCATGGGTCACGTCGATCACGGCAAGACGACCTTACTAGATACATTACGTAACACATCCGTCGTAGACACGGAATACGGCGGCATCACTCAACACATCGGAGCCTTTAACGGTACAGACGACGAAAGATCATCCCGAGCATCTTCGATGTAACGATGTAATTTCTCGCCTTTAAACCTTCGATCGTTCGGCAGTAACGCTGGAAAGCGGAGAGCGAGTCACGTTTCTGGACACCCCCGGTCACGCCGCGTTCAACCTAATGCGAATGAGGGGCGCCCGGGTGACGGATATCGTAGTGTTGGTGGTCGCGGCGGACGACGGTGTGATGGAGCAAACCGTGGAAAGCATAAATATGGCGAAGGCCGCGAACGTCCCGATCATCGTGGCGATCAACAAGATCGACAAGCCGGAAGCCGACATCGTACGTAAAATTGCTTTCCGAGTGGGAGTACGATGGAGATCGGAACACCGGGATTCGGGATAATTGTTTCAGGAGAGGACGCAGAATATGCTCTCGCAACAGGGGATTCACGTGGAGGCGCTCGGCGGGGACGTCCAGTCCGTCAATATTTCGGCGTTGCGCGGGACCAACGTGAACACCTTGATCGAGGCTATAACGCTACAATCTGAGCTGATCGGATTGAAGGGCGACCCGACCGGCTTAGTCGAAGCCGTGATAATCGAGTGCTCGACCAACCTCCAACGCGGCAAGCTGGCGACGATTCTCATTCAACGCGGTACTCTGAGGAAGGGCGCTTGTCTCGGTAAATGGAGAGCATCGGGCTTCAAGCATCGACGTATACCGGATAGAGCGTGGAACCGAAACCGTGTGAGAGGTGTAGAAAGAGACAGAACGATGAGGTGGTAGCGACTCGTGTAGATCGAGATCCATGAAGTACTTAAGAAGGATACAGTCGAACCGTCCACATAAACAATGTTCTCTATTTTCTTTTTTTTTCTCCCCTATTCGATTTTCTATCTAATTTTTGTATCACAGGTTAAAGTATTCGCCAATCTGATGATTGCAAATATATATGTCTTAAGGTGTGGCGATTTACCGTATGAGAGAAAGCGAGCTTTCAAGATCAAGATTTCAATCTTGATAAGGTGGCGATTGTTTCATCCGTCGGATTCGAAAGTTTCCGGGGCCATTTTCTGCGTAACGGTAAATGGCTGAAGCATGGATCTGTAATCAGGTTGGCGAGCACTTTAATCCCCGATACCAAAATTGAGGGTGTAAAATCAAATAGGGAAAAACGGGGAACATTTTAGCAAAACTCTCTCTCTCGAATACATTTCCTTTTACACGTTTCTTTTACACGATGATCGAGTAGAAAATTATATCATATATAATTTTCTATACTTTTCTATATTTACTAATTATTTATTATTACATATATAATAATTTCAGTTTTACGCGACGTTTACATATAGTGTTATATATATTTATAGATTGCAAAGATGTTCCTAACTTATGCGAATTCGATACTACTGCCTTCTTAGGCGAAATTCAACTGATGGAAGGAGAAAGTGAAAAGAGAGATTCGTGTCCAAACATCTCTCATTTTACACCTCTCGACATGAAAGATCAGAGAAATCTTGGCGAATGCTCCGTCCGGTACATGTCGATGCTTTCGGCGAAAGAGCGAAGGTATGTTGAAGAAGGAAGAGCTCGGAAGAACTGACGAATGCTCTTTGCTCTAGTGAGCGGGCAAACGTGGGCTAAGGTGAGGTCCATGTTCGACCATTCCGGGAAGCCGGTCTCGGAGGCTAAACTGTCGGAGGCGGTGCAGATCATCGGTTGGAAGGGAGACCTACCTATCGCCGGGGACGCGATATTAGAGGTCGAGAACGAGAAGAAGGCGCGCATGGTGGTACGCTACAGAGAGTCGGAGCGAGGGAAGCTCTTGTCGCAGGAACATAAAGTCATGGCGGACAAGAAACACGAAGAATACTTGAAAGTAAATGCTCTCGGATGCGATCTGACGGCTCACTGCCGCGTTTATTTGTCTCATCCGCCACCGTCGTTCGGTTTCAGGAGTACAAGAAGCACTTGGAGAAGAGAAGGGCGCACAGCAGGTACTACAAGTTAATATCGCCAATTCCTAAAAGTGACACCAACAGTGACACGCCCAAGCTCAACATCGTCATCAAGGGCGACGTCGCCGGCTCCGTGGAGACCATATTGGACGTTTTCAACACGTACGGGAGCGACGACAAGTGCCAGTTGAGCATCGTCCATTACGGCGTCGGGCCCGTCACGGAGACGGACTTACAAATGGCGGAGACGTTCGACGGTAAGACGATACGTCGTGAGATACCGAATGACCCCGTTGTGTTGACTCCCGCGAGTCTCAACATCGTGAAATCTTTACAGCCATCGTATATCATTTTAACGTGGGTATACCGAAGAATTTGCAAGAGGAGGCCGATAAAAAGAAAATACCGGTGCGCGCGTACAACGTGATCTACAAGCTGGTCGATGACGTTAGGAAGGAGATAAACAATAGGCTGCTGCCGGTCGATGTCGAGGAAGTGATAGGTACGAGAGAGAGGGATGGGGAAGCGGGCTTAGCGACGTCGTAGATTCAAGCCGACCCGTCCGTTTGTTTTTCGCAGGCGAAGCGAACGTACTGCAAGAGTTCGAGGTAACGGAGAAGAAGAAGAAAGTTAAGGTCGCGGGGTGCCGATGCGTCAAAGGCAGCCTCAAGAAGACCGGGATGTACCGTTTGGTACGCGAACAGGAGATTCTCTTCACCGGTGAGGCGCCAACTGGCTCGACCGGCGAGAGTTACCAAGGCTCGACGAATGATAACGTTCCATGTTTCAGGGAAACTGGCGTCGATGAGGCACATGAAGAACGAAACGGAAACGATCAACATCAACGTAGAGTGCGGCCTGAGGCTCGAGGATCCCACGGTATCCTTCAAGCCCGGCGACCTTCTGATTTGTTACCAGATGATCGAAAAGCCGCAAGAGACCGACTGGGATCCCGGATTCTAAATTCTAGAAGTATAAACCGAGCGGAAACCGCATAATAATATTATCCCTGACCGGCGCGTTCTTCATTCCACGCAAGGTCGAAGGGCCGTGGCGCGCAGGAAAACGTAAGCAGCAGGGATTCGAGCAGCGAGCGAATCGACCAATCGCAATTCGAGAGCCTCGCAACAAAGTCCCGGCCGTTCTTCTGCTCGCTAATTTCCAAGCGCGATCGCGGCCGATTCGCTCGTTGCTCAAGCTTCGTCCACTTCTTCCTGCCGTTATCCGCTCGATAAAGATATACGCCTTCGACTTAAGTACAAATTCATTTATTATTGCTCGAGAGAGATATAATCTTCCTTTTACATTGGTCAGTTTCGTTTCGCGGAGGGATCATATCCGTCAACGGAAATTGTGAAATTAAGACAGACAAAGCTATAGAGCGTAGTTAACCATTACAATCCGTCGGAGCCATCGGTAGCGATCTTGCCCTTTCCCCCTTTCCTTTTTTTTCCTCGTTGCATGCTTACAATCAAATGGAATGGAATTCTGCACGGAATTCTTTCAACATTCTTTTCTTTTTTTTTTTCTTTTCCTTCATCTTCCCGCCTTCACTTTGCTTCTTTACATGATACGCGTAAAACGACACGATAAAGTCAAACGTTAAAACCTAATCTGCGCGCGGTGGTCTCAATTTCATCGCCTGTAAGATCATTTATTCCCCCAAATTCTTCGAGAATTTCGGCTACGTTCCTTCAACGAACGATTGTAAAATTAGTTTAGGGTATGCGGGATCACACGGACGACATTAGGACGCGTAAGTCTCGCGAAATCGCCGCTGGAGATGCTGGTACGCCGAGAGGACGCCGCGCTTTTTCTTCTGCAGGCGGCACGGGGTCGTCGTCGTTTCCTGGCAGTCGCCGGCCTCGGTGATCTTCGTGTCCAGCGGCTCGACAACGACATCGTCATCTGGATGCACGAAGAAGGCGATAGAGTGGCGTCCGCGGCCGCAGTGTTCCGGTATCACCACGCGATGTCTCAGCGCCGGCAGCTGCTCGTTGGTCCAGTGCGCCAGCAGCTCGCCCGTGTTTACCAAGATGGCGCCCGGAAGATGGCCCACCCGGGCCCATCGTTCCCCGTGCAGAGTCTGGATCTCGAGACCACCCTCGCAGTCCTGAAAACGTTCGTTCCTGTATGTCACGGAACGCGATCGACGACACACCTTGTGTAATCCGCACAAATCTGTACATATGCTATACGTTATGTAATACAACTCTGATTTCCTTCTTTTTTTCTTTTTGTTTTCTTAATCAGGCTAGACGCCTCATCATCTCCCTGCGTCGCGACGTATACACGCACGGACGACCATTTTAACCTTAGATACTCGGTGATTTGTTATCTCCCCGCGTGCCTAATGCTCCTTCCTCCGCTTGAGATATTTTCATGTTTCGTTTGGTAGCAAGCGAAGCCGCTTATCGCGTCGCGCGTAACGAAAGGAGTGAGATATGCCTGCGTCCCGACGAAATTATGCAGATACGCGCGTGGAATTTACGACACGCCTCGCGGAATGTCCGTATGTGGTATTTTCTCGAAGAAGGCCCCCCCCCCCCGCGCGACCTCCCCTCGACGGGTTCGTGAAATTGGCGACTCGAAATGCGAGTTTTCGTAAAACCCACTCGTTTGCTCATAAAGAAAAAAAACCATTTCGTCCACCTCGCCGAAAAAGGACGCAGGCTTCACTCGGCGGCGGTAACACGGCCATACCGGACAGTGATTTTCATGCACGCCATGTAATACCGCAATCTGCATACTTGCGCCAACAAAGTGAAAGTGCCATAGTCGCAGTGGGCGCCGCATCGGGTCAGTCCTTGTACCGGTGCACCCAGTGGTGGATAATAGAGGAGACGCAGGGTGGACTCGTTGCCAGGGCCGAGTATGTGCGCATGCTTCGACAACAGGAAGTCGTAGGATTGCTCCAAGCCCACGGACAGAGCCTGCAACGTGCACACACTTTCAGCGTGGTCATCATTGTGTAAACATTCGATTATTTTCGTAAAAGTAAAGGGGACAATTATCTCGAAATTCCAGGTAAAGAGGACAATTATCGCGTCGAAAGATCGGGAATGCTCTTAGCTGGAAGTATAAATCGGGCAATAGATAATAGGATTGACGTAAATGGTGAGATAGATAAGACGATAAGTCTGAAGGATAAATGAAGGATAAATATTTGAGAAGGAGAAGATAAAGTAACGAACGTTCGGGAGAAACCGGCTGTCTAAATGCAGGCGTTGCCAGAATTGTTTAAAAAAAAAAAAAAAAATCTATTGGGCATAGGATGCGTTGCGAAAAATTATCGCAACCTTCAATCTAGGCTAGATATGACGACACATGTTCAAATGATGATTACTGAATGAAAATGATTACGGTAACAAAAATGGCATCCAGATACAATAGGTCGGAAGGGAATTATCTTCTTCCTCGAGTCGAGGATGCGAACGGTTTTTCGTTGGAAATGGCGACCGCGAAAGAACAGATAAAACGATAACGACAGAGCCTTCGCAAGAAAGTATTGAATAACAAACGTTCCGGACAATAAATTGCAGTCCATTTCCACAAAATATAACACTAGAAAATGAAATATTAAAAAAAAAATAGGCAGTTAATGGGTTAAGCAAATGAAACATCATTACCGCAAGGAGCATGGTGGCCAACTGCTTAAAATCGCGTGACAACTCGTCCATTGCCGACCGAAATCCGGGCACTTCATCCTCCGGCAGGTTCCTTTCGCATTCGGTGACGTTGAACGTGTGTCGAAATTCCATCTCATCTGAAAATCTATTTCGGGGGGAGGGGGG